TTCTCTTTCACCACTCTCTCCTCCAACCTTCCTACTTCCTTCTCCCCTCCTTTACTCTTTTCTCTCTCCTCTCCTTTCTCCCTTCCTTCTCTTTCTTCCCTACTTCCCTCTTCTTCCTCTCCTCTCCTCTTCTCTTTCACCACTCTCTCCTCCAACCTTCCTACTTCCTTCTCCCCTCCTTTACTCTTTTCTCTCTCCTGAGGAGGTCCCTTTTGAAGCCAATTATGTAGCTGCCGCCCGGCTCCACTGCAACCCTGGGGCCTGGCTGGAGAGGTAAAGCTGAGCAGGGAGTCAGGCAGGAGTTTGACTGCCAGGCCGGGCTCAGCCGGTGCCAGCAGCCCCTCAGCAGGGAGACCCCAGAGCTTTTCTTCCGCTGGCCTGACCCCTCCCCCTCCTACAGGCTTCCAAGACGTCCACGCCATGGTTTTCCTCGGCTTCGGCTTCCTGATGACCTTCCTGAAGCGCTACAGCTTCGGTGGGGTGGCTTTCAATTTTCTGATCGCTGCCTTTGCCCTCCAGTGGTCTGTCCTCATCCAGGGGTTTTTCCACACCTTTCACGATGGCAAAATCCACGTGGGAATAGAAAGGTGAGCAAGCGATGTTTGGCCTCCTCGAGCCTGCAAAAGAGGGGGCTTTGGCCTAAGCAGGAGGGGGCAGCAGGAGGAGGACAGGACGAGGGAGCTGAGTGGGGGCTGGCACGGCCCTGGGCAGCCGGGCCACTCGCCTGAACCTCAGCCTCCAGATTCCGTCCCCGTCTCTTGTGGACTTGAGAGTCTCCCTCGTCCAGACACAGACTGCCCAATCTGCAGCAAGTGTGGTTAAAAAAAGCCCAAGCGTGCCACTGAAGCTCCCCATCTGAATTTGTTTGACCATCACTGCAGACACCAATGCCAATCAAGGTGTGACACTAGCAACCAAGATCAAAATCAAGCAAGCTTAGTGGGAAGGCAGTCAGCAGCTCACGAAGGGAGTCCCTGTCGCTGACAGTAGATGATAGCTCAGGGGTTGGATTCAAAGCTCTTTTGGCCTCCCGGCAGATAAGTGCTGCCCATTGCCTGCCATCTTGACCTCAGAGCTGCCCCCGACCAGACCCTGAGAGGGGCTTCATCTGGGATTAGGGATGTGGGGAGGGGTCCTGTGCCAAGCAAGGCAGACCTGCAGCTCCAGTTTCGCCTGCCGTGTCCCGCTCCTCCCCACAGGACTCAAAGCCAGCCCAGCCCACCCTGGCAACCTGTGGCTTCACCCTGCTCTATCGTTGCCTTCGTCTCCTGCTGGGTCACCCTTTGAGCGGGAAGGCTGGGGAAGCCACTCTCTCCCCGCTTCAGCCCACAACCTCCCCGTACCTGGAGGTGTTTTTTCACGCATTTTAAGTGCAGGTTCTTTGGCAATCCTTACTTAAACACAGCCAGGATGAACGGGGAGAAGGGAACTCTCTGGCTAGCCCTTCCTCCCCTGCCCCACCTTCTTGCCAGCATGATCAACGCAGACTTCTGCGCCGGGTCCGTCCTCGTCTCCTTTGGGGCGCTGCTGGGCAAGACGAGCCCCGTTCAGCTGCTGCTGATGGCTGGGCTGGGAGTCACCCTCTTCGGCCTCAATGAGTACATCTTGCTGAGCATCCTTCAGGTGAGCTACTGGGCTCCCCGGGGGAGGGGGCTTGCCCCTCACCCATTGGGATGGGATGGGCCCAGAGCGAGGAACCGTAATACAAAATCACCCAGAAGCTGCGTTCGCACATCCATGGAGATCCTGAAACCAGGTTATGTAATTTGTCAGGCATGGGAAACCGACGACGACGTATGGAAATGCTGAAAGCCGTTTCTTATTGCTTTTTGGCCTAAATAGACAGAATCTTGCTGGACTAAAGCACCCTCTGCGTAACTTTCTGACAGAGGCTGCGAAGAATTAGGGAGGACAGTTCTGCACCACAGGAACGATTCAAGGCTTATGATCTTCTTTACGCCTCCATCTTGCCACTCAGTGCCAGATCCCATCACTGTTATTTTCATAATGTGCAATGCTCCTGATAGGTCTTTGCTTGACTCGTGGCAATGATCCTCAGCCCCAAAGAATGTGCTTCCTCTCCCCCACCCGCCCACATCACCCATTTCTCAGTGAAAGGGGGAGCCGCAGGAGGTCTCTTGGAATCCCAGTGTCTTCACCCTGGCCCCATTTCCCTCTGCATAGGGCCCAGGACGGCCACCTTCCAGGCATCAGGCAGACCCCAGTCTTCATCCACACCTTAAACATCACACACAGATGCTCCATCATCAGATCTCACTGGACCCTCTTAGCCTGGACCCTTTCTTTTGCCCAGGCATTTGGACCAGGAGATTCAGTGAACTCTGTGAGGATGTGGCTTTTGGTTTCTGAGGTTGTGCTTTTTACCAGGGGGACATGGCTACGCTGGGAGCCACTGCTGCGAGATGAACAGCTCTATAAATAATTGAAATAAACGAATGAATTAACACATCTCCAAATAAAGAATTGTGGGAGGAAAGATTGATTACATTCCTGGGAGGTGCCTTGTAGGAGGTGGATGGTTTTAAATGGCTTAAGAAGTTGTTGGTGCTGAAAAATAAGCTGGCCACATGCAGGTATCGCTTCCTCCTGTCTGGCTCAGGTGAAGGATGCCGGGGGCTCCATGACCATCCATACTTTTGGGGCCTACTTCGGGCTGATGGTGTCCCGGGTTCTTTTCCGACCCCACCTGGACAAGAGCCGGCAGCGGGAAGGCTCCGCCTACCACTCGGACCTCTTTGCTATGATTGGTGAGGCTCCCCAAGGGGCTGCTGGGCTTTGTGGCTTTAGGAGAGCAGCTGGATCCGAAGGGAGTCCAGTGGGCAGAGCAAGTATGTCGAGGGGGGCTAGGCGGGTCTTTTTATGGTTTTGGAAGAACCGGCTGGAGCTTTCTAGGTTTGCTTATAATTATCTTCAACCTCACTTAGTGGTCAAGTTACAGTTTCTTTGAATACTCCACTAAATTGCTAATTTTTAGCAATTGTTCAACAAAAATCCCAGGGAAGCATAGGGTCTGCAGTAAACGGTCTGAGGGTAGACATCACCTTGGACTATGAATGATCCACTCTGAATTATGGAGAGTTTCTAGTACATTATGACCGCACAAGACCATCCCTTCCCCTGGGAGTGCACACATTTATAAACCTGTAAGCCACTCTCGGAGACTGGAGGACCCTTAAGCAGAAGGGCTGCTTTGTCCCTTTCGAGGGTTGGGGGCACAGAAATCGTATCTCCCTGTGTCCCTGGCAGGCACTCTCTTCCTGTGGGTCTTCTGGCCCAGTTTCAACTCAGCAGTAACCGCCCACGGGGATGACCAGCAACGGACGGTGATGAACACCTACTTCTCCTTGGCCTCCAGCACCCTCACCACCTTCGCCATCTCCGCTCTGGTGAACCGCGGAGGCCAGCTGGACATGGTGAGGAAGCCCCCGCTCTCGTCTTGAGGCAGCTCTGGAGGGTGCCCACTGTTCTCAGAGGGAGGGTCTGGTTTGTAACCCCAGATGTTGGGGGGGGGCAAGATTGCAGATCATTGAAGCCAGGGATGTGTGCACATGGCTTTGCCAGATTCTGCAGCAGCTCCTCTGGTTTAAAAGCCAAAGGGGGCAGGGTGGGGGGTGGACATCTCTTCCATTACACTAACCGATATTTTCTGCTGTGGTTTATGGGATATTAACTACGGGAGCATCAACATTATTTTATTCCATTTTTATATATATATATATAAAACTCCAGGCAGTGAACATACCTAGTAATCCTGTCTCCTACTTTCCCATTTTATTTTATTAATACTGTATTTTATCATTTACTGAATGGAATTGAATTTTAAGTTAAAGGTATGCAAAATGAGGTTGGAATTCATTCACTTCTAGCTCCTGCCCCCCAATTCCTGGGTCACTTTCTTCTATTTCCCCTCCCCCCCCCAGGTTCACATCCAGAATGCCGCCCTGGCTGGCGGGGTGATCGTTGGCACTTCAGCCGAGATGGCGGTGACTCCCTTTGGGGCCCTGATCGCCGGGTGCGTGGCTGGCCTGGTGGCCACCCTCGGCTTCAGGTTCCTCACGGTAGGCCTTCCCAAATGCCTGAGCCATGCGTTGCCCGCAGCCCCTTCGGGTCTCCGGAAGAAGCCTCTTCTTCCTCCAAAGGAGCCGACTCGGCAGCAGAGCGCAGAAGGGGAGGTGGGCAGGGACCGGGTGCCAGCCAGGCAGGAAGGAGGGTCCCCTCCCGAGAGGCCCAGTTCTCAGCATGGCCGAAAGGCTTCCCGCCCCAAAGCGCAGGGTCCTCTTTCTCTCTCTCTTGCCCAGCCCATCCTGGCTGCCAGGCTGAAAATCCAGGACACCTGCGGGATACACAACCTGCACGGGATGCCCGGCGTGCTCGGTGCCCTCCTTGGTGCCCTAGTGGCCGCTCTGGCAACCCCAGATGCCTATGGAGAAGGGTGAGTGGCACTGGGGGGGGGTGGTGAGGCAGAGGGTTAGGACCAGGGAGGGCCAGCTCCCTGCCTCCCTCCCTGGCTCTCTTCCCAAAGGAAGCCTTGCCAAGGCGGTGGTCTGCCAGGACTGTGCTGGCTCACGGGGACAGTCTTGCTCCTGTAGGATGGCTGACGTCTTCCCCCTTGTGGCCTCCGGGCAACGCACCTCCCTCAGACAGTCTCTCTTCCAGCTGCTGGGCTTGCTGGTCTCCCTGGGCATGGCCCTGATCGGTGGCAGCCTGGTAGGTGAGTGGGGGGGCAGGGCAGGCAAGCACCCCTGCAGCTCTTTTCACTCTCCTCATCCTGGTTTCCACGGGGGGCATTTTTCAGCTTGGGAGTCTCCTGCGACCTCGGAAGGGAGTCAGACGCGGGCCCCAGACCTGCACTACTGCAAGGGGCTTGAGAAGCAGTCCTGACATTTTTTATTTATTTATTAAATGTGTATGCCTCCCATCTTACTATCAGGCAACTCTGGGCAGCTTACAACCTTATAAAAACAAGAATATAAAAACCTTAACATTAACAAAGATTGGGTAAAGTAGGAACTGGTACGCGGATGGGATGGAGGTGGGACCTTCTCCTTAGTCCACTAGCCATGGGTCACCCCTGTGAGGTGGAGTAGGCAGAAGTGGGTCTTAAGGCAATTTTGGGAGGCTAAGAGGGTGGGGCGGATCTCACCTTGAGTGGCCTGATGTTCCAAAAGACAGAATCCACCGCAGAAAAAGCTCTTCCTCTGGACCCCCCAGCCAAGTTCCTGGATTAACAGCGTCGGTAGTAGGCCCCTGCTGGCATGAGTGGGTGGGCCAATCCCATTTTGAAGTGGGACTCCCAGAAAAGGCCATCGTAAGAAGCCCCCCGCCCCGTGCTGCAGATCCCCTGCTCCTTCTGGCTGGTCTCTCTTTTTTTAGGGGCAGTCCTGAAGATGCGAAGCCTTGGGATGCCCCCAGATGCTCTCTGCTTCGAGGATCAAATCTATTGGGAGGTATTTGAAGGCTTCCCCGGGGTCAAAGCCAGCTGCTGCTTAGCCTGCATCCAATGCTGTGGATTCCCCTGAGACCGGAGGCTGATGGATGGATGGATGGATGGATGGGTTTTATAGCCTGCTTTTCCTCTGGGACCTCACGGTGGAAGGGACACCCCCCCCATCCCATCCCAAGTAGCTTAGCCAGCATCAATTCTCCCAGAATGAAACACAGGAGCTCTGCTAACACAACATGCTAGACCAGTGGTTCTCAACCTGTGGGTCGGGACCCCATTTGGGGTCGATCGACCATTTCATGGGGGTCGCCAAGCAAGGCTGTCCGCCATTTTTTTTGTCTGCCATTTTTTTCCCCTTTTCCAGCAGGTGCCTTACCTCCCTTGGGCTGGGCCAGCTGGTGGTCAGCCTGCTCCGTCTCTGCCGCTTGCCAGCTACGCCCTGGCTGGTGCACGGGGCGGAACCACGCATGCGCGGCGCTCCCGGGCAGGGAAAGTCCTCGACTTACGACCGGTTGGGTAGTCCTCGACTTACGACTGGTTTAGTCCTTGACGTACGACTGGTTTAGTCCTCGACTTATGACCGGTTGGGGTCGCGGCATTAAAAAGGTTGAGAACCACTGTGCTAGACTAAGCTAAAATGAGATTGGAAAAATTGTGATTCTGTTTATAGTCCAAGCTCATTGTATGAGCAGAATGCAAATAAGCTTTGTTTTATTTAATGTGTTCTGTTAAGGGATCAGACCTATTGTTTTATTAACCTCAATCTGGGTGCAAACACAGCCACACGATTCAAGTTAGAAGAGAAAAGGAAAAATGGTGGCCGTGCAGAGAGGCTGGGTGGTCCTGCTGAGGCTGTGGACCATGTTAGGTCAGTGTGGGCTGGAAGGGTCAGCTCGACCTCTGGAGGGCCAAAGACATCCTAGTTCGGTTCTGGCAACAGCTCTTTTGGGAAGCACCAAAAGCTGGAGTCAAAAGGGGCTTTGAACTTGCATGCTTGCTGGCTGCCCGAAAGCTTTGTGTTCCAAGCATGGAGGACAGAGAGAAGGGGGGGGGGAATGCTATTCTCAGCCCCTCCCCTTTTGGCCTCACTTAGGTGCCTGAAGAACATCATGATGGCTTCCAGGGCATGGAAGCTCTGAGCACAGAGGAGGCAGACAAAGCCACCCACGCCTGACAGGGTCGATCAGGGTTGCTCACATCACCATCATCCCCATCACCACCAACCACCCAAAAAGCAATCAGTCCAAACTATCAGGATTTGCCTTGACGAAAGCGAGGAGGAGTCTGTTGCTGGAGCAGCAGCGTCTTCCAGGATTGGCCTCTGCCTGGAAGTCCTGCAACTACAGGAGATGGTTTGCAATGACTCGGGTGCACCGGTTCAGAAGCACCGTCTTCCACCTGATTATTTCACAGGTTCTAGAGTTGTGCCATCAGCTGCTAAAAAATATCCCGAGGCCAACAGCAGCCAATGTTATTTTTAAAGCTTGTTTTCTTTCACAACCACCCTTCAATTTATAGAATCCTATTTGCTTTTCAACATAGATTCCATACTGCAAATCAGAAATAGAACCAAATACAGGTAGTCCTCAAGTTACCACCACAACTGAGCCCCAAATTTATGTTGCTAAGTGAAATATTTGTTAAGTGAATTTTGCCCCTTTTTATGACTTTTCTTCCCACGGTCAATCATTGCATTTGTTAAGTTAGTAACACGGTTGTTAAGTGAATTTGGCTTCCCCCATCAACTTTGCTTGTCAGAAGGTTGCAGAAGGGGATCACGTGACACACACCCCGGGACACGGCGACCGTCATGAATATGAACCATTTGCAAAGGATCTGAATTTTGATCATGTGAATTTTGATCATGCTGCAATGGTTGTTAAGTGTGAAAAGCAGTCATAAGTCACTTTTTCAGTGCCGTTGTAACTTTGAACAGTCACTAAATGAACCGTTGTAAGTCGAGGACTGCCTGTAACTGAGAGTGTGCAACAAGCAGCAACCTAGTAAAAGAAATGAACGATGAGACAATCAAGGCGGGCCCCGATCTGGGCTTTCCGTCAAGAGGTGGTTGTCAGACCCCCTACTGGGGCTCCCACGGGGTGTGTGTGTCAGCAGCCAGTCTTTGGGGGAACATTGGGGTTGGGGTTTTTTTTGCAATTTTTCAGTATTTCACATATTGACAACATAAATAAAGTTAACTCAGTAAATGTTATGGAATTTGGCAATATAATAGCTGGAGAGCAAATAAAATGAATTTTACCTTAAGATATCTACCTTTTGAAAACTTTTGACTTTTTTTCAGCTTGGCACCTTCAGCTGAAAAATTCTTTATCATGTTTCCAATACATTTTGAAAAATTGGAAGCCATTTTAACAATCATAACTGAAGTAATATATCAATGAAAAAATATTTGCACCAAAATTTTAAGCATGCTGTTTGAAGTAGTTAATATTAGTTTACTATTGATATTGCATATCAGTGCTTGTATCCAGATTATGTGTTTGTTTAATCACACAAACTATAACTTGTTCAGCTTCAGAATCAAATTCTATCAATAATTTATAATTAAATTCTAATAAATATTAGACTGTTGTATTAAAACATTCTGAATTGTATTAAGATTATTCCATTAAGATTCTATTAGGAGTCTATTGGCTAATGCAATAACAACAACAACAACAACAACAGTAACAACAACAACCCCTGAATGAGCATTTCTGCATTTCCTTAAGTGCTGCCATGCCGGTGGTGCCTGAAGTGAGAGATCTCAGTCCATTCTTGAGCCATCTTCTCATAAGATTTCATCCTGGTTTTATTGACCCCCCCACAAATCTTAAAATCCATACAAGTTATGAAGCGTCCACTGATTAACTGTACAACTTTAAAATGTTGCAGCCAATTGTGACAATCCAGGATTAAATCTGTTCTTGTACTTTCCCAAAATTTTCATTAAACCATTTATGACGTAGTTTTTTATTTTATTAATTTTATCAAAGTATAAAATACAAAGAAAAAAGTGAAGAAAACTAAAAGAAGAGGGAGGGGGGAGATGGGGGACAGTGTAAAGAAGAAAAGAAAAAAGGAAAAGGTACTGACTTTGGACTCTCTTTAGCACAGTACAAGGTAACAACATTACAACCACAACCTTTTACTTTTACACAATAGATATACAAACCGTTTCTATAACAATAAGCTTATCTAGTTCACAAAAACAGAATCAAAGTTTTATTTTTTTTTTCTCGTTGCGAGCACAAAATCCGGAAGCAATTTCAAAATAGAGACAAGATTAAATATACTTTTGCTTTATGGATATATTGAGAATGCTTTGAGAAAAAAAGATACGATAACCATCTTAGTGAAGGACACCCTATTCTGGGAAGATTTGTTTCAGACTAACTTACAAGGTCAAATAGAACAAATCTGGGACTTTCTTTATATGGATATAAATAAAGCTGAGATTTTTTTCAAGAAAAAAGATCTGTCAGACTCTCTTGAGAACAAGAAAAAGACTCTATTCTTTGAAGATAAGCTGGAGGGAGTGACCTAAAATTAACATCTTAATTAATTAGGATGCATTTCTTAAAAAGCTTGATATATATACTGAAAGTTTTAAATTAATTTTGTATATATAACATG